GTGCAGTTAAAATTTGCATTCTGGTAATATTAATCTATCTATATTTATTCAACCATTAGTTTATTCATTCAAAATATGTACTAAATGCCTACTAAGTATTAGACACAAATCTAGGTATTTGGAATACACCAATGAAACAGATGTGCTCCTGTCTCCAAGGAGCTTAAAATCTAGTGGAGAATCCAGATAGGCAAATATGGGGTTCTATGAAAATATGCTGGAAGAGAGAAAAGCATCCAGTCCAAACTCATGAGGTTTTGCCAAAGAAGGTAATGCCTTACTCATATTTATCTAATACATTACTGTTTAAAAGGTATCAGCTCAGGAGTTAGCAAAGATAAGAAAGAGGGAGGAGATGGAAGGATAAGTGGAATGTGGTCAAAAATGAAGAAAACATTCTGAGAATGGAAAACATTCTGGGAGTCAGAGAGTAGTTCAGGATGGCCTGGGTGTGTGAGGAGAAAGACAAGAGGTAAGACTGGAAAGGCCAGTGGGGGGTGATCACAAAGGGCCTTGTAATCAGTTTTATGGGTTTTAGAGTTCACCTAAAGTGAGCTTTAATCAGGTGAGCAACAAAATCAGATCAGATATGGAAACTGAGATTCCAGATAGGAGGTGCTAGGTGTATTTTTGGGATGAGATAAAAGAGGTCTGAATCAGAGAAGTTACAGGAGTTTGGAGAAAACCAGAGAGATTTAAGAGAGTCAGGAATAGTGCACACAGAATTTAGTGACTAATTAGTTACATGAAGTGAGAGGAAAAAGTGAAGGAAAATGGATTCTAGAGATTTTTAGCTTAAATGGTTGCTATGAAGATGGGAGGAGGAGAAAATATGGGGAAAAGACACAATAATAGGTACCATTTTGGATGCCCTGAGATTTAGATGCTTATACGATAGCATGTGGAGGTGTTCAGTAAGCAAACTGAATAGGCAAGATCAGGCGAGATCTGGACTAAAAATCCAGAATTGAGACTTTGCATAATACTTGGAAACTTAGGAGTGGATATAATCACCTCAAGTGTTGCCAGAAACCAATGTTTCAGGTACAAGAAGAGGAACCACAAAAGAAACTGAAAAGGAACAACTAGGAAGGTAGCAAGAAACTAGGAGCATGGTAATGTCACTGAAGCAAAGGAGAAAAAAAAATTTCACAAAGGAGGATGTGGAGAGGTTAATCAAGGTACTAGTGAAATGTGTCCACTGGATCTTGCTATAAGGAAGTCACTAGTGTATGTAACACACAAACAGGTAAAAGCCATTCTGCAAAGTGTTCTTCAACTAGTATGTGGTAAGAAAGAGATATTTGGCTTCGGAGGAGAGGAGACAGGAAGCCAGTTAAGGGAGGACAGGAGATAGAGGGATACATTCAGTTTTATTAGTAACAAATGCTAGTTTTCATCCTGCTGGACAGGATAAGGAGGGTTCATAGTAGTAGGACGGAGTGAAGCTACTGGCCCTGCAGGAGTTAATCTGAGGACCCAAGTCTCATTAAAAACTGATTTTATTGATGGTACAGAATGAGAGTCTACAGGAAATAATACTTAGAAACCAGAGACCAAAGTAATAACCACACTTTTATAGTAATTTCAGCTTAAAAAAATATTCACTATTTGTTTTTAATACAATGCAAGAAGAAAATATGAGATAAAGGGAGGAAAAATTAGTCATAAGAATCAGAGAAACCATTATACTATCTAATTCTTTCAATGAAGCCTTTTTTTGTAACTCAAAAAAGTCAATTGAACTTAAATTCCAAATTTATAAACCATAAAAGAAAGCTTCACTTAGATATCAAAGAGACAAATTGTAATTATGGTAGGATATCAAGTGGTCTGCCTTAGAGAAATGAATAGTGTTTCATAGAATATTAGGGCTGTGAATAGACTGGGGATCATCCAATATAATTTAAAAAAAAAGGCAAAGACAACAGATAAGGAAGAAACCTAGGAAAATGCAGGTGGTTCTCAATGTCTTGGTGCAGTTGGATCTGGTATAAAGAGGCCTTTATTAAAAATCAAGAATTCCAGGTTCCAGAATAAAGCACCCACCTGCATTTCCTAAGTTTCGTCCCTTTTATTACTTTTATAATTGTATTACTCAACCTTCTGTTATTGTGGAAAAATACCTGATAAAATCAACTTAAAAGGAAGAAAGATTTTGGCTCACAGTTTGAGGTTTCAGTTCATGTTTGGCCCAGTCACTTTGGGTCTCTAGTGAGGAAGTACATCATGGTACTGAGAACATGTGGCAGAAAAGGCTGCTCATCTCAATGCAGCCAGGAGGCCAAAAAAAAAAAAAAAAAAAAGAAGAAGAAGAAGAAAGAGAAGGAAGGGGCTGGGAATAGACTGGAATAGACTGTGATCCCCAGTCTATTCACAGCCATGCTTGTCTTTCTCTACCTTCTTTCTTAGGGTTTCTGTCTCTTGCATCACCTTAAAAAAAAAAAAAAAAGTCAGTAATGAGTACTACTACTTGCAAGCTGAGGCTGAATTTACTATCCCCTTGAAGGGCACACCCACAACGACCAAACTCTTTTCACCAGGCCCTACTTCCTAAAGAACTCACCATCTTTCAATAACACCATCATTTGGAGACCAAGCCTTCAATACATGAGATTTTGGAGGACATTTAAGACCCAAAGCATAACAAAAATATTTTTATGGGGGGAAGTCTCATATATCCCTGGAGTTAATATTGAAAAGCCTATCTTTTTTCCAGCACTGAGGGTGGAATTCAGGATCTCATGCATTGCTAGGCAATGTGTTCTATCAGTGAGCTACCTTCCCAGTCCTTTTAATGCACTTATTCTATTGAGGCAGGGTCTTGCTAAGTTACCTTTCTGCCTTTGCCTCCCAAGTAAGCAAAATTTTGAGGGCAAAAAATTGAAGGAGGAGAGAGGGCTTACTCAGTTTGTCAATACTCAGCAAAAGCATTCTGGGTTAAAAATATTAAAAGAAAATCCTCTTGTATTTAATAAAAATTACATATGACATTTAACACAGATTAATATAGTATGAAGTATTTAACAAAGGTTAAAACAGTCTAAATACCAGAATAAAACTTCTCTTTTTCTTGCTGCCCTAAACAAGGTATTTATGGATTTACTTAATACCTTTCTTTAAATTAAAAAGTGAAGAAAAATACTTCTAAATTACCTTTAGTTCCTAAATTATATTTAGCTCACTTTGGTGGCATGTTGATTTTTAATGATTACTGAAGTTCACTGATTCAAGATTTATTAAACATTTACTATGTGCTGGGAGCCTTACTGGATGGACACTGTCCCCCCTCCCATACCATCTTCAGAAGCTATAAGACTTGGACACTGACTAACTGGGAATCTAGATAGATGATGGTAATATTTATTACCATGTAGAAGCAACAGGTCTCTCTTCATAGGATTGGAATTGCTGCTAGGAGTTGTTAGGAAGCATAGAAGATAAAGTTGAATTTCAGTTTCAGAAATGTAGTTTCATATACCTGTAGTGAATCAAAGGGCAGATGTCCAGTAAGACATCTGGGCCTATGAAAAGAGGCTGGCACTAGAAATACACATTTTAAAGCTGAATTAACTCTCTATAGCTGCTGTACTGAATGACCATAAACTTAGGGGAGTAAAGCAGCACAAATGTATTATAGTTCTGGAGATTTTCAGGATGAGTTTTATAGGCTAAGATCAAGGCACTGGGACAGGCTGGGCTTTACAGGGAAATCCTTTTCCTTACTTTTTCTAGATCCTAGAGGCTGTCCAGGCTCCTTGACTCATGGCCCTGCATCCCTGTGCTTCCATCATCACTTAACTATTTTCTAAGTCTGACACTTCCTGTTTCCCTCTTATAAGAATGGCCCCTAGGTTACACTGGGCCCACTTAGATCATCCAGGATAATCTCTCGTCATCTCACATCTCAAGATCTTTAACTTGATCACATCTTCAAAGTATCTTTTGCTATATACAATATCAGTTACAGATTCCAGGGATTAGAGTATGAACATCATCTGTGGGGAGGGAAGGGCATTATTTGGCCTTTTTATAGGAGATATGAAAAAGGAAGAAATTACGCTGGAAGAGTGAGGATCAGAAGAATATTATCACTGAACCTGGGAGAAGGGAACATTTTTAGGAGGGAATGGTATACTAGTCAAGTGCTGCCAAGAACTTAGCTAAGACAAGGGCTGAAAATTGTCCACTACTTCTATAACTAGGCTGTTGTAAGCACGACATCAGTGAAGTGGTGGGGACAGCAGCTAACCTGGAGTAGGTTAATTAAAAAAAAAAATGAAGATAGTAAATATAGACAATTCTTTGAAAAAGCCTAACTATAACAAGCCAATGAGAAAAAAGAATAGTAGGGCATGGGGCAATGGAGTAGGCTGGTCAGTGACATTTACATGCAGAGAAGAAAGGTATAAGACAGCTTAAGAGTTTTTAAGTATAAGAAAAGGGGGCTACTGTTTCCCTTAAAAGCAGGGAATCAAGAGAAGAGAAAGAAAGAGGAGCCCAGGGAAGAAAGATCCCCTTTGCCACCCAAGAGGAAGGAGTGGGATGAAGGTGGACTATAGATCAGGGAGAGAGAGGAGGCTAAGTGCTTTGCAAAATGATGCTTTGCTCTGAGAGGGGGAGATAAAAGATCTGTCTACCAGTAGGAAGCTTGACAAAATAGCGAAGGTTTAAAATAGTTGTGGGATGAAAACATGAACAAATGACAGAACACAGTTGGTATGATCAGACTGATTTTTCTCAGTGAAAACAAAACTACAGAAGTTACAAATTCTCTACAAATTTACAAGGATTAAGAAGGGAAGCATGATCAGTTTATAGCTACAGGTTCTACAACAGAATGACTTCAGTATATCCTGAATTAAGTATGAGCTGAAGGTTTGGCAATTTTTCTAAATCTTTAAGCAACTCAATGATACATAAAGTTTGCTAAAATATCAAAACTAGCAAATTTGCAGAAACGTTTTTAAAATGTGCAATCCACTTCAGTGAGTCATAAATATTTTCATTATGTAGTTTTTATTTTTAGACGAACATTATTATAAAAAAAAGTTCACCTGGAATAAAACCCATTTAAAAAAAAACACACACACACATACACAGCATCAGTATCAGTACACAGTTAATGAATTGGCTTAAACAAGATTAACCACATGACAGGTCTACTTTATCTTCAGGAGCTTTTCCACATTAAGCCATTGGAGCAAAATTAAAATATGTTTAAACATATACAGTAGGATAATTCTATGAAAAAAATAGATCCCATTAAGGGCATGATTTTAGTCAAACAGTTTATGGTATTTTTTCAAAATACTGCAGCATCAACTGCAAACAAAATAAAACCATCTATCTGTAAGGCCATAGGAATGAACTATCATGATTAAATTCACATTTTTTAAAAAAGGTAAGAAAATGAAAGAAGAAGTTCTATCAGTTCTTGGCAATAAGAAATGCAATTGCATACAGCACACACATTTCAATAAATGAAGCAAAAATCTAAAAATATCCCTAAAGTAACTGTTTGCTAATTTTCATTTCTGTATACTTTATTTCAATCTTTTTCATAGTGAACTTGACCCCTAATAATTTTACTAGTCTTAAAAAAAGACTAATCTTACTGTAAAATTTTGCTAGAATTTTAAATTTTATTAGCATACCTTATCTTTCTAGGTCCCACTATATTAGGGATTTCATTTTTAGACATTCCTCTCCACCCCTGGATATAACGAGAAGGAAAAAGGATTGTCTTTTGTGTTAAAAAAAAAAATCTAAAAAACCTGATTGCAGAAACAAGTGCTCAAAATTTGAGATAAGTAAACCAACATAATGAAATGTGGCTTAAGATTTTTAGGCTTAGAAGCTCATCTTTAAAGATTAAAACTAAATTTATAAAGGAATCTAAGTCATACACTTGAAAAGAGGGCCTGCTTAAAATATATCACTTCTTGATCATAAGAAAACCTTATAAGCCTTAATACAGATTCTCAGCATTCAGAACTGGTAAAATGGAGTTAAAAATTCTTACTTAGAAATTTTTGCAAAAATGTATCTATATTGCACGGCTAAATTTATTAATGGACACAGGGTGATAATACTTTTTTTAACATTATTGGATATGACATGTATGTTCTATTCTAAACTAAGCTATCATCTACTTTTTCTAGGAATACCTTCAGCTCAAAACAAAGCAAAACATGTAATCTAAAGTTGGATGCTTAAAGGCTGGGTCACCATTTCTCTACTGGGTATTAGAATTCTAGTTAGCTAAATGAGGTATAATTAAAAAATAGTCCTTCAAAGAAAAGAGTAAAGTTTTCTGAAATTTTATAACAAAGACTGCACAAAAATGTTCATGTAAATAGTAAGAAACCCTGCAGCACCTACTAACCGATGCACAGGTAGATTATTTTATCATAATTTGTTGGAAGTAAAATATAGCTAAAATAAGTTCCCAGTGAAACATTTTACAATCAACTGATTTACATGCTACTTAGTTACAGCATATTTTCATTGTCTGATGCCCTCAGACTCTATTTGAAAAGGTCTTCTAGTCCAATCATTGTCAAACTTAGCACATTGATAATAAACTGCAGCCACTGAACCACTAATACTGCTGCAAAAATCTTTATGTACCTTATCTTAAGACCACAAATATGTTCACAAAACAAAAACAAACAAACAAACAAAAACCCCCTAGATTTCTTCAGTTTCAGCAGGGAACAGACAATTATCTGTTACTAAATTCATCTACAAATAGAAAAAATAATGCACTATATGTACATTATTAAGCAAAGTGGAACATTTATTGGGTCATTTTACCATGCAGAAAGTGAGTTTCCTATGGTCTTAGCTCAAATTATATACAATTTAGCAAAGCTAAATGTAAGAAAATAGCAAGGACAATTTATTTTTATATAACAGAGCATATACTCCCAGTTTGCTGCTACTTCAAAGAGCACTAATAGGCTCATCTAACTTTTACAGGCTCTTTCAAAAGGAAGTTCATGGAGACTAGTTATTAACCCAGAGAAGACAAAATAAGAATGAAGAAATACAACAAAAGCAAAGCATTCTGTTAAAAAATAATAATAAAAGCTAACCACAGAATATGTCAGTTTTGGTTTGCAGACAACCCCTGAGATAGAAACCAAAGTGTTAAGACACCAAATAGTCAGAGGTAAAAAACTAAGAGAATTACATTCATTCATGGTGTCATAGCACTTGCCTTTTAGAAATTATTTTGTTACCATCCAGAAAGCTTAACTGCTTGAATATCTTTTATTCAGAAAATTAGTAAATATAAGATGCTTCTAAGAAATTGTTTTTTCTTTTTAAAAATGTATCTAAATTTGAAGATGGTAGACTTACAATCAACTTGCAATCATAGACTTATTGATTATACTGGGACACTAACAGGTAACTATTAACAAACAAACAAAACAACTAAGGAGGCTGATATTTGTCAACAGTAAGTTTAGAATATCACCAAAAATTGCTCTGGCATATTTGAAGCCACTGAATTATTTCTAAGTTTTCAAACATGGAATAAAGGCTGACTGGTCTAAGCACAGAAATGACATATCTTAATTTGAATCAGAATTCTCTGTGGTAACAAACAATCCAATCCATTTCCATTTCCAGTTTCCATTCTTAACTACCTAGCATTATAGCAGCCTTTATAGGCATAACAGGAAGAACAGTTATTAACAGAATTCAATTCCATAGTCACCTCTTTATTATCCCTTCCTGTGTTAAGACACTGAAGGCTACAAAAGCAACAATGACATTATGATCTGAATTTGGCACATAAGTTAACATTAAAAACCATCTTATGTGATGGCTACATCTACAAAAGGAATACCAGTACCAGTGTTTGGTGAGAAAGGCAACTAAGCTTTTGGTTGGCTTTGGTCCAAATAACTAGACCAAGTTCTATAACAATGAACCTAAACAGATGGAGCTGGGTTCTACACCTTCAACAACTGTTTTAAAAGTGAAGCCTTCATCATATTTTCTCTTAATGAAAACGCAAAATTTTTCTGAGATGATGCACTAAGTGTAATTACTTTTAACTTTTTAAAAACCCCAAAATAGAACCAAAAATCATTATTGTCACCATTACTAAGAACTATCTCTTAAATTTCTATTGACAAGTTCTTCTCTCTCCCTACAGGTATGCTTTCTGCCAACTATAATCTAAATCTAAGTTAATCTTGCAGACAGGGATTATGGTAGAAATTTGGTATTAACTAGTAAGTTAAGGGGTAAACCTAAGAAAAATTATATTATATATATTCTGATGTGACACAACCACAGTTAGATGCTAAAATAAAACCCTAAATTATGCATTTCTCTCCCTATGTAAAATCTCAGCTCAAGAAGTTCACAAATAGGATCAGACAACAATGGTCAAATTTGTTACTAGTTTTAGATAACTAAGTAATTACAATAAGTCCAACATGGGAAAGAACAGCAAATACAAACCCCAGGAAAAATGAGATTATGGTGATTTCCAAATGCAGTTTCCATAAGATCAGGCAGAGGTAATGAATTTAAAAAGTGATTCATTCAGCTAGCCAGACTCTGGCAAAAAGATCAAGAATGAAACAAAGATCTTAACAATCTGAAGAAAGCTACTGTGGCTGCTGCTGAACAAGTAGGCATTTTTATGACTTTCTAAAATAAATTTGATCATAATTTAATGATTCTTATTTAAGAAAATCACAAATCAAAGCCCTTAAACAAATGCTACCAATACAATATTTGGCCCTATGAACCAGACCAAGAGTCCTTTAATTTTAGTCTGTCAACCTCTGCTTAATATTCTGTCGTCTTTTAAACAACCCCAAATTTGTCTAGAACTTCATGCCACAAAAGTGTGCAAGTATGAGTCTAAGGTGTACAGTAATAAGAAAAGGCTAATACTGATGTGCAAAGTGAAAAAGAAAGATAGCAGCTTTTGCAACAGGCAATAAAAGAAAGAAAAAACCAGCAAGGTCCTGCATGTGTCTCCACTTCATTGCTTCCATGTATGATAAAAAGGAGCCTATTCTTTTGCTAGGCCACGAGGCTGGATCCACTTGGCATTCTGTGTCAGGAGGTCTAAGTTCAGTGGGTGCTCTCAGCAGCAGCCAGGCAGTGTGACTCTGAGGCCGGGTGACCTGTGCTTTCAGAAAAGCAGGAAAGGGCCTTCTAGGTATGCTGCAGTCTCTCAAAAAGAAAGAGTTCATCAAAGCAGCGAACAACGGAAGAAACTGGTCTTCTTGGATCGGTTTTCTGTTATTTTCACTGGCCCACCTGCCCCTGATGAATTGCTGTCATTCTAAAAAACAGAAGACAAAGTCACCAAGGAAATGAAAGTTTCATGTTTTTACCCCCAATTACTTAAAAATAAAAATAAACCATACTATGTGAAATGTACATTCTAGTGAAATGTGTACTCTACTATCTGAATTAGAAAGGGAACTAGTTAAGCTCCAGTGTCATCCTTTTCTTTGGAAATGGTGAATAAAAAGAGAAAAATGTTCTTGGGATAGCACTTCTATTTTAATAATATATTAGGTAGGAAAGTCAAATTTCCAATTCAAAGAAATTATAACCAATGGAGTATAACATTTCAAGGATAGTGATAGAAACAATATTCAGATTCTAGTGTAGAAAATCCTGTTAGATGTAAGAACAGCTGGTAATATAAGGTGTACAATTAGAGTCAGGAATGGTTAAAACAAACTTTCAAGGCTTTCCTAATGATTAATCACTGAGATAGTTTCAAATTTAAGCAAACATCAAAATCATATAAATATCTGTCACATGAAGGTGAACTAGATAATTTTATGGGAAAAATATAATTTGTGCCATTAGTATTTTCATTATTCCAATCAAAATTCAATTAAAGACAGCTTCAGTGCAGGAATAAGTATCCTAAAGAAATGGAAAGAAATCAAAGTCCAACCAGATGAATATGTGAGTCAGGAAAAAGGGAGCTTAATGTGAATATGTTATAATCATGCTCAAACTTATCATCAAATGCCAAATTAAAAAATCCACATAATAGAAATAGAAATTATAAGTGATACAAACCATTTTTCTGTTGAGTTTTGTCATTATATCTCGTGCAAGTGTAAAAAATGCCTAAAGGTAAAACAAAAAATTTCATTATTATATATGCATAATATGTTTCAAAATAGAAATGGAATTTTTGAAAAGTATTTCATTATAAATATATTACTTTAGAGTTTTTGAGAAAAGAGCATAATTGTAATCATAGTATGCACATTAATGTTCCATGTTCTTTACAATTATATCACAAACATTTCAAACTGTCTTTCATTCATTCATTAAATATTTTTTTGCATGTAAGATCTGATACAAGTTATGAATAGCTTCCTCAGTACATTAAGAACAAGGCAGATGTGCTGATGTGCAAAGTGAAAAAGAAAGATAGCAGCACCCCCACCTTCCCCAGAGCAGGTCACAGTGCCTGGTCTAAGGAGATGCAATTATTGTTTAATGAGTGAATGAATAATTATGTAGTACTCTAGCTCTAATATCTATCTTTGCAAAAATCTCTATCTCTAATTTCTGACTGTTAACAGTATGTACAATCTTCTGTGTCTTATCACTTTATATTATCTATTGACCCATACCAAGTATTTTTTAAGCCTGTCATCACTTTTTGTTTCTGCAGTCAAGAACTCCTACAGTTTCTTCAATTGTTCCCCTGCTAAACGCACTGCTATGTCAGCCTCATTGTTTACAGCCACTTCTGATCCCCAAAAACTGTTTAGGAAAAGTATTATTTGCAATCCAATTAAACAAAACTACTAGTGATACTCATGATCAGTATCTCAATGTCACAATGGTTACATATAAGTAAGTTTCTAAGAAAGCTCATCTTAGTTTTTTGTTTTTTTTTTTATAGTTGTAGATGGACAGCGTGCCTTTATTTTGATATGTGGTGCTAAGGATTGAACCCAGGGCTTCACAGTTGCTAGTCAAGAGCTCTGCCACTGAGCTACGCTCCAGGCCTCATCTTAGTTTTTATGAGGCTAACCACACTAATTTAAAGCTTTGGGGAAATTGCTAACTTCTCTAGAACACCTGGCTTGAATAAGCAGCTCAAGCAACTCTTCATTCTATATTTCCATAACTCAATGCTCCCTCTAAGCCATAGCTGTGATCAGGGTGCAAGCACTAAAAGAGACCAGGCCTGCTTCATTAAGCCAGGGTACAGAGATCATCCTGTGTGAGTGATCCTACAGGGCCATCACAGTGAGCAAGCTTTTCTGTTTCTACCATTCATGCTGAGCTAAAGTAAGAGACTGCCCTCTTTCTTGTAGAGGGAAATCCTTTTGTGGCAAGCAGAAGGAAGCATTTTTCTGCTTAACTATGCTTGTATAAATAAATCAGTAGAGACTTCCTGTTTCCCAATACCCATTAGCCAACCTGAAAAGATGAGTGTCAGTTATTTAAAACAAAGAAAATGTTCTGATCAGTGTCCACTGGCAAATAAAGTCACTTAAGTCTTGAGTTTTACCCTTCATGTTATGACAGTGAATAACCTAAGAAATTAAATGTTGAGGAGGCCAAACATCAGTATTAAGTGAATTATTTATTAACACATATTACATGTATTATTTTTATGATCAGTTCCAAAAAATTTTTTTAAACAAAGAAAATATTGGTAATTCTGCCCTTGGTAAAGAAAACCTATTCTTAGAAGACTTTAAAAGATGTGATTTTCTTCAACAGCTAACTTAATAAAAATTCATTAAAGCTACTCTCTGACAAACTATCTTATTTCTACCTAATGTCATAATATTACAATGTATTGTGCTTAACCTACTTCACTGTGTACAAAAAGGGAATCTGTTCAATAAAACAGCAGTTTTATTCTCTCTTGGGATAATACAGACATGAAAGTAATTTAACTTGTCTGCTACAGGCTACTACAAGGTGACATGAATGATGACACATGAGCAAAAGACACCTCTTGGCCTGCTAGTCCAGAATTTCCAGCTTCCCAAAGGATTACACTGAACTTAAACTAAACTTCTATTTCCTATTTGGTAAATTTTAATTGACAATCTTAAAAAAAAAAAAAAATCTATGTGAGGTCTGGATGTTAGAAATTCAGCCACCCAAATTCCATGTGAAAGTCACAGTGCACAATATGGAGATATGCTCACAAAAGGCTTTTTCACTTGGTCAGAAAACATCAAGACTTTGAGAATCAATCACTTGAATGTGGGCACATAAAGCATTGGTGCCATTACCAAACATTTTCTTCTTACCTCTTCTACATTTGTACTGGATTTTGCACTGGTCTCCAAGAATTTAATCCCATAGTCAATTGCTAACTGAAAGGCAAACAGAAACCTTAAATCCAGTGAAAGTGACTTGAACATATTTATATTTTATAGGTTTTTCAAAGTCCCCAAAATAGGTTATCAATTACAGAACTCCTGTTGTTCTCAAATTTCTTTGCTTTCTTCTATTTCATTTGAAATTTAATAATTTAACTTAATAGTAAATGTGGCATAACTTTCATTTAAAACGCAATGCCAGTACTTCTCTTTGTTCTACTGAACTTTTGGTACAGACAAGAAAAATTATGAGATGAATTCCCACTCCTACCATTTAACTTGGGATTCATTTATCCTTTATGTTTTCTACAAAGGTACAATTCTCCAAATCACTTTTTTTAAAATTATTTTTTAAGTTGTTGATAGACCTTTCTTTCTTTCTTTCTCCCTCTCTCTCTCTCTATTTATTTATATGTGGTGCTGAGGATCAAACCCAATGCCTCACACATGTCAGGCAAGTGCACTACTACTAAGCCCCAGCCCCAGCCCTCCAAGTCACTTTTAATTATTTTTAAATGAACTGGTTTATACTATTGATTTAGAAGAATTGTGAATTCTTCCATACTTCCATCTACTCTCAAAGAGTTCCCCAGTTCATTTACCACACTAAAATTAAGTGAATGTTTTTAGGGGAAAAGTGTGCAGTCAGATTAAAAAACTAAATGCATTTTGCATGTATCCCTGAAGAAAAAGGATAAAGCAAAATTCCAGGATTCAAAAAGGGAAACCTCTTAAGTTAATTTAGAAAATGCCATAGAATTAAAAAGCTACAAAATATAAATTTTTGCTTTATAGGACACTAAACAGAAAAGCCTACAAATGACATATCTGTAGCTTGAGCAGTTACAAAAAGTTTATTCATAATGGCCTAAATCCAGTGTATGATAGAATATTCTTAGAAAATAAACTGGAAAATGATTATTGAAACTCTACTTATCCTTTTTTTTTTTTTTCCCCTCCAAATTGTTTTAACTTCAAAACTGGGTTTTTCACACAGATCTGGAAGAAACAGCCTGAACTCTAAGCTGCAGAAAATCTTAAAAAGGATCAATTTGTATCTCCCAGAAAACACTAGCAAATTCTTTAGGAATGAGTCATGACGACACAGTATAAGGAGTTGGATCCGAATACTAATTCACACCATTCAAGTATGGATTACATCTCTTTGTTGCTGACTCCATTCTAAAGAATTAAAACACATATTTTAAAAACTTAGATCAATAATTAAATAATATTAAGAAAATGAAGACTTAATGTAAGTATATTCCAACTTTTATTCAATTCAAATTTACCTTCTCCCCTCTCTCTTTTGACACTTGTCTTTTGTCATTCATATCACATTTGTTACCAAGGATCATTCTTTCAACATCTGAAGAGGCATGCTGCAAGAAGAAAATAGTACACTATAAAAACAGCCTGAGAAAAATCACAGCTATTCAACAGGAAAATCCTAACCTGTCAGAAACACATCAATGTATTTAATAATAAGACAAATAATCTTTCATTCAACACAAGGCCTGATTCAGAGAAGAGTTAAAGATGGGAGGAGGGGAATGCTACAGCTTAGAGCCTTGCAGAGCCTATATAAACTCCTTCCCCATAGGTTCCCAGTCATCATTCTCATGGCTTTTTGTACATAAAGACATGGGGTGGGAGTGGGCGGTAAGCGCGGGGAGGGGGGACCAAGCAAGACAGAAAAACATGATAGTGATCCAGTGGAGAAATATTTTGGATTCCGAACTATTTAAAAAATAAATTTATGTGGATTAATATAAATGTGTACAAAGTTATTTCAGAGTACGATTTCTGAAATGTCAAAGTATTCTGGAATTAAGCGAAATTTTAAATACCTTCATTTAACATGGAGAAAATGAAGGGGAAAAGTTGCTAGAGTAAAAATATAGTTTAGCTAGTCACACAGCAGGTAGAATTGATAAAACTGGGAATTAGATGTCCTAATTCTGATTCTCCTTTTTAAAGGCTGTGCAAACACTGGCGAGTCACTTCCTTCTGGCCTCAGTTTCTATATGAATAAAATGGGGACTAGGATAAAATTATTTCCAAGATCTGGCCCAAGTTTAAAATTCTGTGAAATTGCTCCTCTGTCTACAACCCACAGCAATCAGACTGGCAGCACCAGAGATCTTCATGGAGTGCAGAGAGAAGGACTAGCCTTCCTATGCCCTACATCTCTCTCAGCAGCCTGGCTGCCTCAGAGAGAGACAGAGAGGGCCTTATACAGTAAGCACTCACCAGGACTCCTCTCCAATTTCATCATTCTCTTTCCATACATACCTCTTCAATGTTTCTTATCCAGTTTTTAATGTTGTCAAAGGATTTTTCATTTGTGATGTCATATACCAGCATAATTCCCTATAAGAGGAAACAAATGTTTTTATATAGTACTTCATATATTTAAAGTTATAGTATATAATGTCAATGTACTCCTACCCTCCAGAAACCTTTTTTTCCTTTTTTCTTTAAAAAGGGATTCATAATGTATTTGAAAAGTACAGAGAAAAATAAATTCTTCCATTGCTTCACCTTGTAAATAAATACTCTTTATCTTCATTGTTAACCTTTAATAAATTAGTGATTGTGGTAAAGGTAATACACCTCTTCTACCTGACCTCACATGATAACAATCAGCACCAACTGGAACTGAGGCAAGTTTAAGTTAAAACAAAGGTAAATTGAAAGGAGGAGGTAATCACTTCCATTCCAAGTAGAAATCATCTTGCTTCTTAGTTCTCCACTAAGAATGAGACTACACTGCTTTAAATTTTTTATATAGGTTGATCAAAATGTCATCATTTATTCTAAGTAAATTATAGACACTTAAAATATAATGCATTTGTTATGCAGGTGTAATGAAAGGCCCTGTCATCACATTGTTAAAGATCCCACATCTGGTATTTCTAAAAGGTTCATCTAACATTTGCAAGTTAACAAGTCCATAATCTATATCCTCAGACCACTTTTTGATTCTACATGCTAGATTTGCTCACCATTCAACAAATATTTAGTGAGCATCCACTATATGCCTAATATAATAATACTAGGTGCTAACAGCAATGAATAAGATAGTCAAGTTCCCTTCCTCTTGGGGATGGCTAGCAAAGAAAACAGACAATGAACCAATAATTATACAATTAATTATAATTTTGATAGCTGCTATGAAGAAGCATGAGGAGCTCTAAGCTCACATGACAGGGATGTAATCTTAAGCTGGATGAAAAGCTGGAATAGTTAGAGATTCTCTGATAAAATGACATTAAAGCCAAGGTCTGAGGACTGAATAGACTTACACTAGGAACAAGGGGTTAGGGATAGGGTGAAGACAGGAAGCCCATGGATACCTGGGGCAAATAGCAGAAATAAAAATATCTCACAGGAATGGAAGGCCCAGAGCCCACTGGAGGGAAAGAAAGACAGCTGGGCAACAATACATAGATGTACTGAGAATAGGGCACAAGATGAGGCCAAAGATGTAGACAGGGCTAGAAGTTCCTTAGGTAACAATGTCTAGACATCAGTCATTACATTATCTCCTTCAGTCACCAAAAACTAAACTAAGTAAAATATCAGATTGTTTCAGTCCCCTCCTGAATCTTTTGTTGGGCTCTATGAGCTCAACTGTTCAACCTTCAAAGACTCTAAGCGTATTGAATTTCATCATAATTCAAGGCTTCAACTTGGGCTCGGTTTGGGCATAATTCATTTACTTAGCTGTTTTTTGGGGGTGTGGAGGGTGTGGGGGGGTTAGACCCAGCATTCTACCACTTAACTATACCTCTAGCCTCTGGCTTAGGCCTAAAAGCCAGAGATAAAGCCCTGATTTGGGCCTGAGATTCTAGGCATGGTTCAGTACACCTTTGCTTCTCAGTTGCCTTATTCACCACTGTATTCCCAGCACCACACATGACTTGCCCAGAGTCAAGCAATATAAATGCACTGAAGAGATGAGGCATTTTAGAGTGGAAAATAACCAAGTGATGAAGTTATGATAACATGGATAAGGCCAGAATATAGCAAAGAAAGACCTGGCAGTAAAGATTCACCAGATTCTAAGTCTCAAAGAGTCTTGGATCATTCAATTACTTCCTGACCAGCTGGTAAAATGTTGGTCAAGGAGACACCAGAGAAATGAGCCATAAGCAGGGGATTGGGGGGAGGAGGTTGTGAGAGATAAGGGATGATGGCAGCAGGGCTGAGTGACAAAGGGGTCAAGAAATAGACACTAAGTCATGGGGCCTGTGGTCTACTGAGATTGTCATGAGGTATTAATAAAAGGGAAAAAAATCTCAAAAATATATGAACACCTCAGAATGCAGAAGAGTTCTAGAATATCTACAAGCTAATTGCCTGATTATTATGAAGACCAATGGCAAAATATAGTTATTAAACCTAACATATCACCCGAAAACCTTTTAAAATATCTTGTTTTCACATTTAAAAAAATTATTTTCTCTCACTGATTCCAGCTTGACTCATATAATAAGAGTAAATGAATATTCATGTTTTACTTTCACCTCAAGAGTTATAAAACCCTAAAACACACTTACCATGGCTCCTCTATAGTATGCTGTTGTGATTGTTCGGAATCTTTCCTGACCTGCTGTGTCCCTAAAATTTGAAACAAAAGAGAGAGCAGTTTTAAAAGTCATCACAGCATCACTGAGGAGAGGCCTCACGCTGGAGGAGATGGAATTCTGGTTTTCTCATAGTGAAGTGGTCGCAAGGGAGAGGAGAATGAGACACAAAGAGAGCCCACTGTGCATCTGTGAGTTGGAGGCAGTGGCGGCCACAGGAGCCTGTCAGAAGCTCAAATGACTTGGAGGAAAACCTTGGACCCTGCTGATAAAAGCAGCAACAGAAAAATACACAGGTCCTGCTAGGAACTGGCACAGTCAAACACATGTGGGAGGGAACAGGGAATAGTTTTCAATTCTTAGACTCTCAGAGGTAGCAATAATCCTTCTTATAAGTGTTTAATGATTAAGGCATTTTCCTTTCTTGACTGAACGTGTGACTTCTGTACAAAGCAAACAATTGAACTAGATTTACTACTGTGTGCATTCTGCTCAGCAGAGCATAATAAAATAGATCTCCCCCAAAACATTTTCAGCAGTGGAGTCCATGATTACACGGGAGCCTGAAGCTCAACACATCATTCTTGATGATGTTTTCAAAGACTTTCAAACATGAACACTTCAAAGTTATATAAGCTTTCACATATTCTTGTTTTTTGTCTGGTGGCACACCATTAAAATATATTCTGATGGGCCAGGGTATAGCTTGGTGGTAGAGTGCTTGCCTATTATATGCATGGTCCTGTGGTTCAATGAATGCTCAGCACTATGGTGGGACAGACAGATGACAGACACACACACACACACACTCACACACACACAGTTATTATTAGTAGTAATCCTATAAAAGAAGTCAAATTTTCTTAATATTTGTGAAATCAATATTCTCATATTTGCTACTTACAGCCAGAACTAATTTGCTCCCTGTGCTACTCAAACTAAATTGTACAATTTAATTGGAAGGGAGAAAGAGGCATTTGTGGAAATACATGAAGAACCAAGGGAAATATAGTAAATGAAAAACAATAAATACCTTAACATTTATATATACCTTACAAAATACTTTCACATTGTGCTCACATGATGCCCATTACAGCCCAGCATGTGTGAACGTATTACATCATCCTCATTTGCAAAAGCGGATACAGGCTCAGGAAGGCTGGGTACTCATCTCTGCCACTAAAAAAGCTTGAATAAGACTCAAGCATTTTAGGCCTCAGCTGTACAGCACAGGGCCAAGTTTCACATCAATGCCTGATAAGCCCTATCTTGTCATTCTTTCACTGATTAGATACTCAGGGCACTTGTTTTGCATAAAGCAAACAAATCATGGGGGCAAAAGATGTCAAGTATTTTTGAGCAGGTTAACCATATTTTCTTTACATACACTACTAATTTAGAAACAGCTTTGCAGTAAGGATGGAAAAGAAACCCTGCTACACTAAATGTAGGTTGTGAAGTCTGAATGGAGACTATTTTTCTGCTAAGAGTAATAATAGTTCAGGGCCATGATGTTTTGGCTACTATATTAGTTCATTTTGTATTACTATAACAAAATACCTAAGGCAGGTCATCTCATAAGGAAAAAGAGATTCACTGATTCATTAGACTTGGGATATAGTTCAGTGGTAGAGAACTTGCCTAGCATGTATAAGGCCCCGGGGGGGAGGGGGGGGTTGATCCCCAGCACCACGAGACTGGGGGGGGGGGGAAGGGGGGTCACGTGCGCAAGCCCAAGTGAGGTAGCTTTATTTAGCTCACAGTTTTGGAGGCTCAAAAAACACTATTTCAGCTCTAGTGACAGTCCCCTTAGCTGCATCATATCATGGAGGATGGTAGTAAAGGGAACACTTCAGGAGGAAGGGACTGTGCATCTCAAGACAGGAAAACAGAGTGAGTCAGGGGTCAGGCTCAGGATTTCCTGACAAATTGCTTTTGTGAGAACTCACTCCAGGAGACCAGTATTCCCTTTTTGTGGGCAATGCCCCAAGTAACCTAAGGTCCTCCCCCTAGGACCCACATCTTAAAGGTTCCACATTTTCTCCCAGTCACACTTGGGAACAAGCTTCCAACACATGGATCCTTGGGAGACAAACTGCATCTAAACCACTGTAGCTATTCTATACTAGGTTCTAATTAGCCAATCACCCACGGACTCTGAGAAACATTCCTTATTGCTATGATCAGGACTGCCTACCACAGAATCAGAAATTCTTTTTATTGCCCTCTTTAAAAATTATTTTTATATCTTTAAAATATTTTTTCTTACTAAACACCAATAGAGGAAAAGGGCAGCCTATGGGAACCTTCACAGTATTTTCTAATGAAACATACTGGGAACCACTAGATTAGCCTACTACATGAAGTTGACACCATGCTCCAGGACATTTGGATGGTTGTCCCAGCATTATCACTAACCCAGCAATATGCCCCCTCAGATTAACTTAACCACTCCAAATCCTAGTCTCCTCCTCAGTTAAAGAAGGGCTGGAGGTGTGCTTCAATAAAATATTCTAGTTCTATCCTAGTTCGGAGATTCAAAGGAGAAAAAGAAAAACTGAGGGGCATCTGGGTTGGTTCTACAGTTTAGCTATTGTGAATTGTACTACTATAAACATTGATGTGGCTGTGTCCTGTAGTATGCTGTTTTTAGTCTTTTGGGTATAGACAGAGGAGAAGGATAGCTGGGTCAAATAGTGGTTCCATTCCCAGTTTTCCAAGGAATCTCCATCCTACTTTCCATATTGGCTGCACCAATTTGAGGTCCCACCAGCAATGTATGAGTGTGCCTTTTCCCCCACATCCTCGCCAACACTTATTGTTGTTTGTCTTCATAATAGCTGCCATTCTGACTGGAGTAAGATGATATCTTAAGAGTAGTTTTGATTTGCATTTCACTAATTGCTAGAGATGATAAACACTTTTTCATAAATTTGTTGATTGATTGTATATCCTCTTCTGAGAAATGTCTGTTCAGGTCCTTGGCCCATTTACTGATTGGGTTGTTTTTTTTTGGTGCTTAGCTTTTTGAGTTCTTTATATACCCTAGAGATTAGTGTTCTATCTGATGTGTGAGGTGTAAAAATAAAGCTGATATGTATTACAGGATGAAGTTATGAAGTCTGAAGTGTTTCAAAACCTGAAACTCAAAATGTTCCAAAATCTGAAATCCCAAATTTCAAAAAAACAAAACAACAAAGAAACTTATATGTGCCAACATACAAGTGCAAAATTCCACACATTAAATTTTGTTTCATGTACAAAATTATTAAAAACATAGTATAAAATGAAACCTTTTGTAGGAGGTGGGGCCTAGTAGGAGGTCCTTGCATCATTGGGAGAATCCCTTGACAGGGACTGTGGGACCCTGAACACTTCCATGCTCTTGCTTTCTGGCTCACAAAGTGATCGGTTTGCTTTTTACCATGTGCTCCCTGACACTGCCATCTGGTACCCTCCGGATGGCAACTAATGGGTCTGCCTGATCTTTGAATGCAATCTCCAAAACTGTGAGCCAAAATAAACCTTTTCTCTTTATAAGTTAATTGTCTCAGATATTTTATTATAGTGACATAAAGGTAATAAAGAAGGGAAGCAATAAGCCCAAAGTCCTTGATTTAGAGACACTGTGGCTAGAGCCTAGCTCTGTATTTTTTGTTCAGGGTTTGTACTACTTGACATTTTGCCTTATTTGATTTCATAGTTGTAATAACTGCAATGAATAAGTAAAATACATGTTTTAGGATTTAGTTTCCTCCTGCATAAAATTAGAGCTTGGGAAGAATGAGCTCCCAGATCTCTTCTGGCTATCAGAGTTAACTGTATCATGCTTCGCCTTCCCACTCTTACTGAAGATACCTTTGAAGGATGCTAAGTACTTACCCATCTCCCCTTGGTTCAATAAAGAAAAGATCTTTTGGCTATCATAAGATGCCTTTAAACCATTATAACTCACATTTTAATTCCCACTCTCAATTCCCAATTAAAATAGAAACTGTGTGTGTGTGTGTGTGTGTGTGGTTTTTCCCCCCCCACCTCTGGTACTTACCATATCTGAAGCTTAATTTTCTTTCCATCTAGTTCTATCGTTCTGATTTTAAAATCAATTCCTGCCAGAAAAACAAAGAAGGATATGCTAAGTTTCTTCAAATCGAATCCAAGTCTTATTAGGAAGAGGACAAAGATTTCTATTGAAAAGAAAGCTCTCCAACGCACTGGAAAATGTGAGCACAGAGAGGGTGTGAATGGTATGTTTCCTCTGAATACAGGCTGAAGAAAGGAATGCTAATTACTCTGCAAAGAATTCCCACACATGTTAAATGCAACGTATTATATGCCTCATTATTTTGACACAAATGGACCACATTCTGCAAAGTTACATAATTTAGATAGAGAACATGCCATATTTTCTACTTCCTGAAATACATTTAATAGCAATGTTTCTTACCCCTCAACCCCCATCCTTTCCTAAAGAAGGCCATGGGACCTCTCTAAAATGTCTCTCTTCATCTTTTTTCATTTCTTTCTTTGGAACCTGCAACTAAGAAGAAACAAAACAAAACAGCCTATTTGATGGCAGGGGAGGGAAGCCGGCATTTTATACAATTGGCAAGCATTTTATATACATTTTAATAAACGTCCCCATAGATTACTGCTTAGAAGTAAAAAGTCAGAATGGTTTTTAGCCCTGGCTGAACTTCAGAATTACTTGCATAACTTAAACAAATAAACAAACACAAAAAGAAAAAAGAAAAACAAACAAAAAAATACCTCATAACTAGGCCTGCCTCCTTCCCCAAATTCTGAGATTCTGTCTTAACATATTAAGAGTAGTTTTGATTTGCATTTCTCTAATTGCAAATAATTGTAACAAATAATTGAGTCTTAGGCAATCATAGCAGCCAAGCTTTAGTCAAATCAGGTTTCATTAAGGCAAATGCCAAGTTTTAATCCATCAAGCTATCTCTGTACCTTGCTTCTGTTTTCTGTATGTCACTTCCCCTTTGTAGTCTCAGATTCTGTCTTAACATATTAAGGGTGGAACCTGGGCACTAGCATTTTTAAAGCTTTCCAGATGATTTTTAACCTGAAGCCAGAGTTATGAAATGCTCAACAGAGCCTGATAGATGCCATGTGAAAGTCCTTTGGGGCTCTGACACTTCAAAAGTTCAACCCCTCCCTCATATACTTCCCCTCATTCTGGTAGCTCAAAACTTATTTATGGATTTCTACTACAAAAAACCACACAGCCACAGCCTTTAACAATTATCAGCATGCTCTGTCATATTTTAGGAATTAGCTTTCCGAGCAGATCATCTGGTGAATACAATCCAGTAGCAATTTGCTAAATGCTTATCATCTGGCTACTCAGCTTTGTTTTAGATTTTTCTATTCTTTTGCATTCTGCACAGTGGTTTCTAAGACATTTTGAAAAAAACAAACAAACAAACATGTAAATGATGCATCTTCTAGATTGTTTTGAACACTAACTGCATTTGAGGTGAGGGCCTTCAATAGGTATGTTCCTTAATCTAGAGACTGAAAGTACTCAAAGAGGCTGCTTCTCATCTCCAGCTTTAAATACCACAGGCTTAAACCAATCGGATTCCCCCCACTTCTTCTCTTAGTGGTACTTTTCCCTTAGAGAGCCTTTTTAGGTACTCTTGTAAATCCTGACAAAGACAAAAATCACACTCAGGCTAATCTAAAAAGTCGCCTCTTAATCATTCATTCCCCTCACTGATAACCATGGACTAACAAATACAATCCGATACCCAATATCCCCAGGTTACATGGTTCACATTACTTCTAAGGTACCTCCCTCAGTACTGCAGTATCAGCGGTGGTGACAAAAATTTACTTCCACAGCATAAATGTTATTGCTAGAATCCCACAGAATTTATTGTTACCATCACTAATTTCAGACTGAATAAGCAATGATTTTTATTGTGATTCATCTTTTTTTACATACCTCCAAATCTGGTGTAATAAAAGACCCTCTTAGAGACCCTCCTCTACCCTTACCTCCTTTTGGTGGCAACAAGAACAGTGCTCAACACATGGGAGGCACTCAAATAAATGTTTCTTAACACCATTTAACTGTACACTTAAAAACTGCCAAGTGCAAATTTTATGATATGTTTTTTCTTAAAGCATAAGTATTTAAAAAATTTTTTTTTTTTTTTAGTTGTAGAGAGTTACAATATCTTTATTTATTTTTATGTGGTGCTAAGGATCGAACCCAGTGCATCATACGTTCAGGGCAAGCACTCTACCACTGAGCTACAGCCCCAGTCCATGATATGTGTTTTTTTTAACCTTCTTAAATCAAACTAAATTTGGCCTGAAAAAGCCTCCTTTCTAGTAGTCCTTGTATCTGAAACTGCAACCTAATTCAGTACTAAACAAACTGAAAAACCTAACTTAGGAATTTGCTTTGTAACAAATAATTGAGTCTTAGGCAATCATAGCAGCCAAGCTTTAGTAAAATCAGGTTTCATTAAGGCAAATGCCAAGTTTTAATCCATCATGCTATCTCTGTACCTTGCTTCTGTTTTCTGTATGTCACTTCCCCTTTGTAGTCCCAGTCTCAATGAACCTGTCCCTGGTTCTAGGAGTTGCCAAATTCATCACCTGCTCTTTACTCAATTAAACTCCATTAAGTTTAATTTGTCTAAAGTTTTTCTTTTAACAAAACCACCAAGAAAGGAGGAAATCATAACTTTCAACATGTCTAGAGCATACCTGAAGAATAACTTAAAGGACAAACGTCCAACATTCATCATTAACATAGCTCATTCACATTTTAAGTAAAAGATTATATATATAAATCAAAATGCCTGTTCAAGTCAGACAAGGTGGTGCACACCTGTAATTCCAGCTACTTGGGTGGCTGAGTAGAAGAATCACAAGTTCAAGGCCAGCTTAGGCAATTTAGTGAACTCTGTTTCAAAATAATATAAAAGATCTATAAATGTATGTAACTCACTGATAGAGTGCTTGCCTAGCATGTGCAAAGCCCTGGGTTGTTCAATCCCCAATGCTGGAGGAAAAAGAAAAAAAGTATGTTCAGATTAACACTTACCTTATTCTGACTTATTAAAATGGTACTTCCAGGTCTTTCAAGGTTGATTTGCCCATAGTTGAGGAATCAAAGGCAACTACTTTACTACCTTCATTCAATGAAGTCATTTTGAGGTTCCCTTAAAGTCTCACTCTCCATTTCAGAAATTTTCTCCTGACCTATTTTACTTATTTACTTTTATATTTGTTAAAAGTATTGCCTTTCTGTTATTTGAGGAATTTCTAAAAGATGGTAATATTTAACTATCTTCACACTAGTCAGAGCTTTAATATTTGTAAGTGTGAACTATGGCATTTAGATTTTTTTATTTATGCTGCTTTCAAGATCTAGTCGACAAACAAGTGCTGTCGAGCACAAGTCAAGTTAGCAAATATGGAAGAAAGCAAACAGGAACCTAAAAGAGGTACCATTTTCACAATGAAGGAATTTCACTAAAAATGGAACATATTAAGATTATTGAAAAGCATTGAACTGGAAAGTCAAAAGGCTTAGATTATAGGTTAGGTCCCCATCACTGACAATTTGGGGACAGATTATTTAACTGCTTTATACCTCTGTATCCCCATCCATAAAAAGGGATAAGAGGATCTAATTAGATAAATTAGATGTGTGTGAACAGCTCTGGGAACTCTGAAATTCCATGTAGAATTCAGATTCTATTATCCTATAGCTCTTGTCACTTCGTATGTGGATTATTGGTAATGGCTTCCAAGAACACTGTGCCAACCTCTTCCTGGTCTAATTCACCTACATGTCTCTGCCAGAGTAACTTTCAATAATCTCTGTAGTAGAGTCAGTACACATTAAAGAAGGTGAATTAAGAAGGTGAGATTTAACTTCCTGAGCCTGGCAATTTCAACCTTTCCCACTCGCACTGTTTTCCTGCACTGCATCATCAAATCTTTAATTTAGGCCTTTGGTTTCTCAGTGAGCTCCATACTTCCTTTCCTCTTCTTGAGTGATCACTTTACTTTGTAGCCTAAGGATGTCACTCCACCTATGCTGTTCTCTCCCTTCTCTCCTCAGCTCTTCACTCAGCCATGTCCATCCCTGCCTCAATACCTGGCTTTTACAGTGATTTAATCCTGTGTTAGTGAGGTTTGTTAACATATTGCTCTTCAATTTCTCTCAAATTAAGTAAGGCCATATTCTCTCTATATATTTTTTTAACATTTATTTTTTAGTTGTAGGTGGACAAAATACCTTTATTTTATTTTATTTTTTTATGTGGTGCTGAGGATCAAACCCAGTGCCTCATGCATGCTAGGCAAGCGCTCTTCCTGAGCCACAACCTCAGCCCCTCAGCCATATTCTCTTAGAAAGTTAAGTTTAACACAGAAACATGTATATAGTAGACATTTAAAGGTTAAATACATACTTAAATGAAGGTTAAATACTACTAAGTGTGAAGATGGCTAAAACAACCTTGGAAATACAGTTTTCTTAATATATTAAAGTAACAAGTTAGAATGCTGAGAAATCTTGTTCTAAGAAGAAAATAAGGATACACTACAATTATTATTCAAACATTAAGTTTAATATTTAAAGAAAGGCAATTTTCTGAGGCTACTCTAGGGGTTAAAAGAATAATAAACAGTAAAATTATATCAATTAGGATGCTTTTAGCTGTGAATAACAGGAACCCCAAATCAAACTAGCTTGAGGTAAATTGCTGACTCATATAACAAGCTAAGTGGTGAATTGGGGTTCAGGGTGTAATCTAATAGTTTTGGCTCATTTTTCTGTGCCTCTCTTAGGCTCTGTCCTCCTAGCAGTATCAATTTTATTCTCTTACTGATAGCAGTTCCTGACCACAACAACAATACTAAGAAGAAAAGATATTATTTTCCTGGGCCTCCTAAAAGTGAGAATATTTTTCCCCAAAGCCTCAAATGATTTTTCCTTCAACTCTCATTTCTGGATGTTAACCTTGGGAATACCATGTTCTGTGGGGTAAAAGCTGAATTCCTGAACCAATCACTGCCACAGGGAGTTACCAAGATTGGATTAATCTAAATCTATTGC